TTGATGGGCTTTCAAATGGTGTATGAATTATTTGTGTTGTTATTACAAGTGTTGCTGTGACCCCCTAGGAAAAGGTTATGCCCCGCCCTGTATTTGCCAGAGGCCATGGTGGCACAGTGATTAGAACTCAGCATTGCATGCTAACTCTGCTGACTGCCAGGAGTTCAATCCTGACCAGCTTCAGGTTGACTCAGCCTTCCATCCTTCTGAGATCAGTGAAACGAGGACCCAAATTGTTGGGAGCAACGTACTGACTCTACAACCCACTCAGAGAGTGCTGTAAAATGCTATGGGACAGTATATAAGCCTCAGTACTAAGTACTATTGCTGCAGAAGAAACTGGAAGCTTCTTTTTTCTGCTCTTTCTGCATTTTTTTTCTTTCTTTTCTCCTTATTAGTTCGTGCATTCATGTTTTTTGTAAAACTTTTAATAACTTTTCTTCAAAACAAAACAAATGTTGATTGATGCATTTACTTGCTATTTCACCAAAGATCACTGCAAGCTTAGGTTAAAAGAAGGTTATATTTGTTCATCTGTGGAATGATGGTACCAGCAAAAACAAGGAGCTATTTCTATTAAAATTTCTCACTTTTAATGGTTCTCTGATAAGGTCCAACTCTGAAACTTGGGAATAAAAGCAATAAAATAAAAATATTATTATAGTGTGTTTTAAAAAAACCAATTCCAAGGACATCTATTTGGTAAATAGCAATTTATTTTGTGAATCCTAGGAGTCTTGCCTACTAAGGTAGTATCTGCGTTTTATCATTACAATAATCACTACAAAATCCAATACTGAATTTAAGGAAAGCATGATTCTGCAAAGAAAACCTCTTACCCCATCCAAAAGAGTATTTTCTAAATGCACACGTGGATCTTTACGAAACGGAAACTCCAAATTAGACACATGAAACACAGAATTATCTCTGTCAATCATATAAACTTCATTCTTACCATCAATTAACATCATATACCTAAGGGGGAAAAGAATGTAATATCAATGAAAGTCATATTTCCTTTATAATGTTTACCGTTATTGAATCTTATATCTCTTAAACTTTAAACTTTTTTTTCAAACATACATAATTGAAAATTATACATTGCACACTCTTTAAGCATGCAAGAACACAATGAATGCTAGAGCATAAATCTTCATGCTCAGACTTGCCTACAGAGTGCTAAAAATTGCATTTGTCAAAGCTGGAACAAAATGATTTTTTTTAAAAAAAAATCATGTATGCTTAATATATAACATCATTGGAACAAATCTCTTTAATGCAGAAAAGCAAATGTGTCCCGTTACTTGCGTGTATGCATGAATTATTTTGAACCAAAGGAATAGCAGACAACTTGAACTTCAGAGATAAATGCTTGCCAAGAAATTCAATAGCAAATCATCTTGACATACAGTACACCCAAATATCCCATTTGTAACTTGATGAACAATGGAATATAACTTAATTATATAATGAAAGTTTATGAAGCTCTTTTAAAAACCACCTGTAGAAAACTCCAGAATTCATTCAATATTACAAATATTTTACTTAATATAGTTTACTATAACATTATTTTACTGCTTTTATAGCCAGGTAATTTAAGCACCCTTAATCATTACTAAATTAATCTACAGTATATATGTTTATAGGTTCAGTGATTTCCAAATTGCAACTGAAAAAACCTAAAACTCTATTTACATGAAATTTAGGCATTTCAGAAATTCAACCTGCCATTAAAAAACCTCTCTTTTTACAACCCTGTAATCCATTAATTTGGGGTACAGTCTAGGCAACTGGATGGACCGTAGCATTTATTGACTGGATGCCCTTCCTGAAATCATGCAGAATTCATAGGAGATATTTTTTGTTTGTGCCCTAGGAGAGAAAAATCTGCCTATACCTAGGATTGAATTCGCAACCTTCCAAGTGGGAGATAAATATCTTTACCACAAAACTACCATGTTGCTCAAGCATAAAAAACTGTAATACTTTATATATTAATTTGTATGTAGTACTGAACTCATAATATGCTAAATACTATCTTTTTTTTTATAAAGAAAAACTTTTATATGACTAAAAATGCTAAAAACCTTTTTCTTACCATAACGTCTGCTCCATATTACATGGACAAACAAGGACAATATTAGGACTATCATATTTGGACGAGTATTTAGAGCTGTTTTCAGTGGATTTTTTCTATCTAACATGAAATTATAATGCAATTGCCAACCTTCCAGTGGTTATGAGGCTTTACATTTTTCTATTCTTGCTACTTATTAGATACCATGCTATACATATATATTTACCTGGATGTATTTGTATTATAAATCAACAGCCATTTTCAGAATTAACTAAATTGAAGTTTCATCTTTTTATTTAAATAATATGATTTTTCTCTCTTTGGGTTTCTAGAACAATATTTCTTTTATTTATTTATCTACAGGAATTATATATAGTACAATTAGCTTATAACTGCAGAATTCTCTTTCCTTGTTTTCTACATAAATTGGGAATTAGCAATTCTGCAAATTTACAAAAGTAAACATAGTCTCACAAAACACATGATTTTAATAAAAGATTCTAAGTTAAATAATTAAAAATTGCACATTTAAATTAAAGATATAAATCCAAGTGTACAAGAAAAATCATAAAGCATGAAAGACACAAATTTCTAATATGCATGTCGTTGAAAAGGAATAGTAAAGTCTTGGAATCAAGACTTCCAATTATTTTAAACCCAACAGGAAGCCAACATCAAGCTACTATTCATTTTAATTCACCACACAGGTTTATAATAAATTGAATTCCTTTAAAGAGATGAAGATTTTAAAAGCAGTACTTATATGTGAGAAATCAGTCCATGTAATATTACTACATGTTAAATGCAATAAATTTAAATATGCTCTGATAGAATGTTAGTATAACTGAAGTCATAAAGCAGGACATGACATTAAAGCCCTACATGGTATCTAAAGCCCTACATGGTATCGGACCTGGTTACCTGAGAGACCGCCTCCTGTCAGTCACCTCCCAAAGACCTATTAGATCGCACAGACTAGGCTTCCTCCGGATTCCATCNTCTTCTCAGTCTCCTCCTTCTCCAGCCTCCTCTCCTCTTCTCATTCTCCCCTTTCTCTTCCTCTTCTTCTCCCCCTCCTCCTCTTCTCCTTCTCTTCCTCCTCTTCTTTGTCTCATTCTCCTCTCTTTCTCCTCCTTTAGATCATTGTGTCCTACATCTTTGTAGATTTCACTGATAACGTTTTATAAACGAATAAGAAATCAAATACCAAAGCAATCCTTTACCCTCCCATCCCCTTAAACCCTCTAAAATCGGGCAGCTTCTTTTAACTCCCCTCTCTTCTGCTTTTCAGCGTCACCCATGTCGTCGGAAGAAAAAGCAGAGAACCACTTGGTTCCTGATGGCCAGGCTTTGGAGCAGCAGGTAAGTTTTCTAGGCCTGGATTCCCCCTTCATTCCTAAACCCTGATTGGTTTTAACCCGGGTTTGCTGAATAAGCCATCGTTGTTCAGGTTATGGCGATGGTGTGGAAACCACAATAGTTGTGTGTCTAACCTTGGCACCTTTAAGACTTGTGGACTTCAATTCCCAGAGTGTCCACATCATATCCTAGAGCCGTGATGGAGAACCTATGACATGCATGCCGGAAGTGGCATACGGAGCCGAGTTGAGGTCCAGAAAGGCAGCTAAGGAATTCTGGGAATCTTAGTTGCCAAGGTTGGAGACCCCTGTCCTAGAGAACCCAACCAGCCATTTGATAACTTGGGGTCCAGTTGGGACGTTTTGAGGTCTGGTGGGCAACTGGCGGCCGCTAAGCCTCGCTCCGCCCCTCCAACTCAAGGCTGCCGGGATTGGCAGCCAATTTGTGCTGAATTCACCTGGAATTCTTTCCTTGCAGAACGTGATCAGTCGGGTGGCTGGCCTTACCTTGGTGAGTTCAACCTGCGACATGGTCTCCTCGGCCTATACCTCCACCAAGGAGACGAGTCCCTACCTGAAGTCCGTCTGTGATGTAGCGGAGAAAGGGGTGAAGACCCTCACAGCAGCTGCCCTATGTGGTGCCCAACCTCTGGTCACCAGACTGGAGCCTCAGAGTGAGTAAGAAGGCCGGAGCAATGTTTTGGGGAGGTGGCTGGAATACATGGGCTCCAAAGTTGGGCACTGAAATGGATGGCCCTGTTCGGGGGTAGTGGTCCTGAAGCGGTGGAGTCCTACATTGACCACGGTGGGATGGACTGAATGGCCTTTTAAGTGCCCTTCCAGATTTTCTGCCCTAGGATTCTATGGTCGGGTTGCTTCACGATAGTGTCAGCGTTCCAAGTATCATGTAGAATTAAATCAGAGTCCAAGGCAAAACGATGAACAATTAATACAAATCTGATTCCCCGGGCATCATTCAAGCCATCCTGAGGGCTAGCATCTTGAAACAAGTTTTTGCAGCTGTGGTGCTGATCTCGTGTGTTGCACGTGTCTTTTTTAAGTATTCCCAAATAATTTTGAGAGATGTGCAAAAAAAAAAAAAAAAGTCCATTCCTGAGAAAATCTTGGCAAGTTGAAGCTCTGTGGACTTCAACACCCAGAATTCCCCAGCAAGCATGCTGGCTAGGGAATTCTGGGAGTTGAAGTTCACTCATGCTACCTGGGGAATTCTGGGAGTTGAAGTCCACAGATGCTGGCTAGGGAATTCTGAGAGTTGAGGTCCACTCATGCTAGCTGGGGAATTCTGGGAGTTGAAGTCCACGGAGGCTAGCTGGGGAATTCTGAATGTCCCAAGTCCACACATCTGAAAATTATCAAGATTTATAAACACTTAGCAATAGCAGTTAGACTTATATACCGCTTCATAGGGCTTTCAGCCCTCTCTAAACGGATTACAGAGTCAGCATATCGCCCCCACAGTCTGGGTCCTCATTTCACCCACCTCAGAAGGATGGAAGGCTGAGTCAACCTTGAGCC